CACATCAGTAGACAGCATAAAGCTTCGGCGTCCTACCACATCACTGCGACGACATGGATATGGTAAACAAGGTGACACGAACAGCAGCGACCGGAACGAACTACACAGGCATCCTGTCTCCCCTACCTATAACTACCCAGCACTGTAAGCGGCATACATGGCCGTGGGAGGCGGGGAACGACCACCGCTATCAGAGCAAAGCTTGGCCCGAACCTTCGTGATGTAGGCCTCTGCTCTCCCGTCGACGCCGTCCCCTTCGTCGCCCGGCTCCATCAAGTAGTTCGCGCAGCGGCTCTCGGGCTCCACCAGCTTCATGGCCCTCGCGGTGGGAGGCGGAAGCGGGGCGCCGGGCGCGATCCTCGCGGGCGCCGCGCGGGTCGTCCCGAGCGCCATCTTGGCGAGCGCCAGGACCGAGGCCTTGAACACGTTGCCGGAGATGGCGGTCGATCTCTCGCGCATGGACGCGTGCTTGCGCCTGGCCATGAGTAGTAAGTAGCTCACTCACTCGTCTGGTGTTTTTGGTTGGGGCTTCCGAGGGATATCTGCAGTGGAAGAGGAATGCCCAAGGCTTATATATCCGCCTCGTAGGAATCATTGATGGGGAATTGCGTTGCGTATGCCCGCGCCCGAGTAATAGTAACATTCAATGATGAGCGTGGGGTGCGCCGTTATCGGTTTCAACTTGTGCCGCAAGCCACAGAGAGAGCGCCCTCAAGGTGTTTGCTATTATGACTCCCAATTTTTAGTCCTGCCTTGTACGTGAGCCTAACTGCTCCAGTTCACAAAGTGGCTTCGGCAGGAGGGTCGCAGATGGTGCCATTGATCATGACGTGGGAATCGGACATGATTGCATATCTCCTCGGTATGTTCTTTTGGATGATCACGGATCGGCTTTACTTTTGTGGCGTCCTCGGAGAAAAAGAGACGGCTCGAGACAAACATCCGTAGAGATGCTTCACGAGTGCAACGAGAGGGACCCAACTCAGGGTATAATGACACATACATACGAGCAGCATACAAAAAGCTGAGAGGTGTTGGGTGCAGTAACCTCAGATATGGAAGGGGTGCGTTTTATTCCTTCTCGTGATTGCTTCGTGCAGGAGGAGTAACGTTTACAGGTCCATTAGGTTGGCTTCATGTTACTTGGGTGGATTCGAGATGACAAATGGCCTACCTCAACAGGGGAATGTCTCGTGTGGTGGTCGGAGACAACGACATAAGGACTGCAGATGAAGCAAAGAGGTGGATTCGTCTGGTCGCTATCAGCTTTGGAGCACGTCCGGATCAAAGTGAGAGGTTCGTATTCTTCGTCCGCTTGATGTTTCTTTCTGTCTCTTCATAGCAAAGGTAAGTCCGTGTTTAGCGTCTGACATAACAAGGAATAGTTGGCACGATGATAAATATAGGGTACTGCACTAATTTTACTTGAATTTGAACTTGACTAGTAATCCAGTGACTACTCAGAACTTAGAATCATGGATTATCATGGTGTATTTTCCTCTAGAAATTTAGAGGCAAATTCCATACCAGTATTGTTAACACCATACATGAGATTGTTGGACAAGTCTTAAGCATAAGTTATTTAGATAACCTAATAGATTAATCCTTGGAAACTTTTTTGCACAAAATTCCTTACCAGTCTTTCTTATTGTTCTTCAGTACGAGGCATGTCCCTGTGGCTTTGGTTAACATACATATATTTCACAACTGCGCTGCCTCGAGTCATAATCCACAACATTATTATCTATAGCTCCATCATATCAAAACCATGCACATTTAATTTGTACTATTAAGTGAAAGGGCATATATCCTGTTCACATTTATTTTTCCCACTAGCATCTGTGTTAGATAGTATACCAAACTCCATGCACCATAAACACACTTGCACAAGCCTAAAGTGAGCAGCCTTCTTTGGTAAGCACAAAGACGCTGCCAGCGTCGCCTCTTGAGATTCTTAACTCCTCGTCGAGATAGGTGGTTAGCAACCAGGATTGAACATTAGTGTTGTTTATTGGTATTTTTAGCAGCGGCTGTCCTGAGATGGTCCGAGCCACAGATGCTGCTGCATTCTGGATGGAACTGATGACGCCATTGAACGGAGAGAGGTCGATATTCTGCCCCAGGAACTCTACTTTGTCAGGTATAACGATGTCATCTGTTAGCTGTGGGGTTCCAATTATGCCTTCCTCGAATTTGATCTGGAGACAGCAGTAAACATGCCAACATGAGTCATGATATAACAAGGTGGAACTAGGCAACAAGAAAATAACATCCAAGATATCAGGTACAATCTTGATTCTCTGATGGTATGTAAAAGTGAGTCAAAATTCATTGGTTTAAATCTTCAAGCTGCACACAACTAGTGTAGACTTAAGAGGATTAGCCTTGACCTAGGAGGATAAGGAGACAGCCCACATCAATTGGTAGCAAGCAAAAAACTACATACTCATGAATACATTTTAATACACGTCCTATGATCTAACAAGTCAAGGCCTTCATTAAGAGTAATCTAAAACATTTATGAGAAGATATAATTTGCTTTTATTTTTTTGGTTTCTTGCATGTCCCAGTACATTCTTTTACCCTCCTATTTTCCTTCTTCGGTGTTGTTTTTGTTGTTAGGGAAGGTAGGGGAATGATGTAGAAACCTAATCTAGTCAAGTGCTTTCAAAGAAAGAACTTGGATCTCCATCCTATATCTGAGGATTCACCCGGTTAACTACAGGTACTGCTAATTGCAAGAACATTCTACAAAGCCAAAGAACACTAATAACTAGTCATAAACAGTTTGATAATACCAACTTTACACAAGCAGTGATCTGATAATACAAAACAACCCTAATTTGCACTTCCTGACCTGAAGAAGATTTTCCTAGAAGATGCAGGCCCCCTTTGTTGATGTAAATCACAGAAAGTTCAAAATTCTTCCATTTCTACATTTATTGTTCTATAGATTTATCTGCTACTAATTGATTGATTTTGTCAGAGAACAGGGGAACGCAGTATTCTGCAACCATCTCAAATAGAATCCAGCGAACTGCTTGACATCTGGAGGAGGAGAAATATAGTATGCACTCGATTTTATCATTAAATCTTGTAAGAATTGAGCTAGAGATAATTTCCAGTGCGATTTCTCCCAAATCAAAATCTCATTAGCAATTGGGACCTAAACGTTCTTGATTGGCAGACATATCATTGATGACACGATTGAACTCTTGCAGATCATTAAGTAAGGAGCAATGTTTTGCAGAATTAGGAGGCTGCGGATGGCATGGGGAGTGTCGGAGACAGGATACCTGCACTCTCTTCGGACTACGGACTTCGAATTTGGCATTGGTGGTGACGGAGGTTGTCGCCAGAGGCCCCGAAAACTTCACCGAGTTCTGCACCGTAAAGCTCTCCGAATCAATAGTCTGCGATATCTCGTCCACCTTCACCAGCTCCGGCAGCCGCCCCGACGACAAAAGGGGGAACAATCCCGAGAACGAAGTGTAACTGCGTCCGCGACCAAATTGGTCGATGAGAATGAGCGAGAAGAAGGATTTCATCCAAGATCTGGAATCTTACGCGAGGATCCATTTGCCGTTGAGGAGGGCGAGGGCGTCGGTGGGAGCGGGCGTAGGGTTCTTGGCCTCGAGCTGGGTGATGACCTCCAGGATCTCCGCTCTCGTCTCGCTTGACGCCTTCAGCCCCCGGTCCGTCCCGTACAGCAGATCAATCAGCTTCTTCTTCAGCTCGCCAGCCTCGCTCACTGCCGGCGGCTGCGCCACCGCCACGCCGCCCTCCTCGCCCAGCTCGTCGTCGTCGACCATCGCGCGGGTTCGGAACGGGGCTGGGGTTAGCAGCTGCATCCCGATGCCCCTCAAGGTGGGGGCTTTCAGGTGGAGGACACTGGGGGCGAGGTGTGGGCGGCCATCAGCCACCACTGAGGAGAAGGGAGCCTTAATGGCCAAGAGATTCCAAGACGCCACCGCAGACATGGAGCAACTCTTGAAACTCCGACCGCCTTTGCGGTCTCGCCTTACCGTCTTCTTCGTTGGGCGATTGATACGGGTGGGTTGTTATATTAACTTTTTAACATCCACTAGCTGCGCAACGCGTGGAAGGAGGTAACGAGTACTTCAAAACAATTATTTCCTACACGTACGTTCTAAATACCTGCTTTCTGATTCGTTGGAGCCTGTGCGGGACCCAACTATGAGTCGACTTTCACAATGGTCGGAGTATAAACGTGTAGATAAACGTACCGGAAGCTAATTTTATATTTTTCTTTGTTTTGGGTGGTGGCAGGACGCTACGCAATCGGTCGGGGCGGATATTTTCTGAAGTCGATCGTTCTAGAAACATCTCGCGGCGCACGTGCTCACGTGAGGCATCAACCCTGAAAACTGAGAAATACAATGAGGTAAGATTTGTATTTGTCATATCATGTTGATT